CGCGTCGGAACAGTATTCCAGCGGTTGGTGTAGACGGAGTATCCTTGAAATGTCAGCAAAACGCCCGATGGACAGTTGCCCCATCAGTGATCCCGCACTGGATGTGGGGGATGTTGAGGCTGTTATTTGGAGGGGAGAATATTTGTCTGCGGTGCCTGGGGATGAGCCCTCTTTGTGGTGTTTGGACACGCTTTCCACCAACACGACGGATGCGAGGGACCCGGAGGAGACAAATCTCAGTGCTGTAGCGCATGCGGCATTGAGGTGCCTCAGTATGCAGGTGCATTTGGAAGTGACTGAAAAGGGTGACGTCCGTTGTGTTCCATGCACGGACGGAGCGACGATTGCGTGGGCCACTCGACCCTGCGCTGGGGGAAACGCTATTTGCCGTGACCACGCGCAGGTGTGCACGATATCCGCCACCAGCGGCAGCCTACTTCCAGTGGTTCCGTGGGTGGCGAGGAGAGAGCATGTGGAGCAGGACGGTTTCACCAGCATCTACTGAACAAGACTTCCCAGGGGCATCCGTCACCGTTGCGGGGAGCATTGAGACCGACCACGGCGCACCACCGAAGGATGTAGACACGGCTGTTCCCCAGAAGAATTTGTTGAAAGAGGAGAAGTGGATCCGGCCAGGATACCCCGACAGACCGCGAGAATCTTCTCTCGGCGGCAGGGATCGAAGCAGCGAGACGGACGGCGAGCAGGCCCGTCCCCGACTCCCGGTGATGACACTGTTGCTGCTGCTTGTCCCTGTCCGCTGCTTCTTCTGCTTTTCTCTGCTGCTGCCGTGGCAACACTCCATCGATTTGCGGTGTGGTCGGCGTTTCGCTGCAAGGGGACTGCGCTTCCTTCTGCTTGGCCTGCAATCAGCACTGGAAGCCCAATAGAAAACGATCCATTTCAATGGGTCCCTTTCTCCATATGCATGTGCTGTGTGTAATCCGTCTGACTTTGCGTTTGAAATTGGTGGTACTTCCGATGAGCACTGCTCTTCTTGTGTTGGTTGCCGATGTGGGCCACCGCATGGTCGTATGGCTTTGCTTGTGTGCTTGTTAGATTTTCTGAGACGCACATACACAAAAAACGGTGCGAGTCAAATGTGCGCACACAAGGCACACACACGCATATCCAAGCACATTGTCTGTGTGACTTCTACTTGACATGGTATGCGGGGCGGGTTGGTGCGAGCAAGGCCGACGGAAGCTGGCAGCCGCGTGAGTCCAGCAATGGCTTTTGTGGTTGTGTGCGGGATCATATGTTCCATCAGATGCTTGACGTCGTTCATGGATTGTCCAAAGTTTTTTACTGCGATGCCCATGCTGCGGCTGTGCTAAACTGCTCAATGCGTCTCCATGATCTCATGGAGCACGGCGTGACGCTGCTCGGGGACCTCATGACGCCGCGGCAGCCGGTTATCAGCAGCCCTGCGCCCTACTTTTTGCCGTGGAGGATTCGTCTGTGAGCCGCGTGGCTGAGGATTGGATGGCAAAGGTCCCGCACAGGGATGCACACATCTTTGCGTTGGGGTGCACCCCGCATCGCCGCCTTCAGCAACTGGTGCGGGCTCGGATAGCGCCGAAGGCGATGCGTTTGAAGGACATTATGTTAGACTTCGTCGCCACTGAAGTGCTGGTGTTTCACCCCAGCATGCAGAATGGGTTCCCTCAGCTGCTGTCGCCACTGTCGCCGCCGACTCGAGAGTCCGTTTTGAACGTTGCTGAGTCACTTATTGTGGCGGCTTTTCACGCCATGAACAACGGTGTGCCTGTTATTCGCCACCAAAACAGAGGCAGCATCTGCCATGGGTTTGCCAGGACCTTTTTTGAGGGCTTTTCAGGCTCTGCTACGACGAGCCGGATTTCGCTTAGTGGCGCCGACAGCCGCGGCAACCCAGTGCGGATCATCGTTGATTGGGGCTGTGTCACGGTGACGCCGCTGATGCACCAACGCACATCTCAGTTTCTGCTTGATGAACTGATGCCGCTGGAGAAGAAAGTGTATGAGCAGACCTGTAGGAATCGTCTGGGTGTGGGCTCGAAGCGGCAGTAATTGATGAGGAAGATGTATACTAGTGCTCCTACCGTCATTGTTTTCTTGCGCAGTGCGTGGAGGAGCTTTCGGTGGCGCTGGAAAAACTCCACGCGTATCACCCGGGATTGGCGCAGGACGTGGAGCCGAAGGCCAACCTTGCGAAGCTGGGCAGTGCGGTGCGGGCTCCGCCGGAGTTTTGGGAGAGGCAAGCCGGACCGTCGCTGCACATCGATTTTTTGCGCGAGGCTTGTGGCACAGTACTGGGAGAAGCGACTGGCGGAGGTGCGGGGGGTGGAATAAGACACCGCCGTTGGGCACAAACTCCTCAGGAAAAACCTGGATGGCGTGCGGCACCTGACGAGGGATGCGGCGATGCCCCGGCCTGTGCGACTGCGTCTTCTCCTGTTGCTTGTGACTGCGAGCAACACCGACGAGTTGACGGAGGCCAATAAGCAGCAGCTGATCCGAGACGGTGGACTGACGCCCGACGCCCATTTGTTTGCGACCCTCGAGCATGTGACGAGGAGGGCCGGGAGCGTGCATCGATAAAGCACGGCGTCGGCGCAGAGCGGACGGAGCACGAGTGATTCTGCGAGCAACGCCGCGACGGACGAGGATCCCTTTCAGAAGCATGCCTGTATGATGATGGAGACGGCGGGCAGGAATAAAACGCTGCGGGTTGAGCTGTCGTTGGCATCGGTGCAGCGCGATCATGCGATGGGGCCAAATGGCGCGAGTGGTGGTCAAAACAGTGGAGCATGAGGGAACAACGCCGGGCCATTTCAAGGGTGTGGTGGCAAATGGGAGAATCATCCAGATCTGTGTGGCGGTGGTGGTGGGACGATTGCCCTCACAACTCCTCAGCGCATAGTGCTGCTTGTTTTGGGTGCCGTGGCCTGCAGCGAGAGGCGCTCGGTCCATGAGATATCCAAAAGGTATGGCCGTGAGGTGTTCATTGGGGAATCCTCGATGCCGCGTCCTGAGGTGTGTTTGTGCAGGGACTTAGCACCCTACGGCACTGTGACTCACGGGCGAGACACGCACAGGAACGCATCGAGGGCCAAAGAGTGGAACAGATGCAACCACACACGATTGCGGGTGTCTGTGGAAATTGTGTGCGCTTTTTCCTGCATTCCGTTCCTTTCCAAGAAGCGTTTCATACGATGTGCGTATGTGTGTTTCAACGGCTGCGCTGCTTGCCTTTTACCTTTGTATTATTGCGTGTGCGTTTGCGGGCCATTTCCATGCAAATAAGAAGGCGGCTAAAAAAGGAAAGACATTTGTGGAGCATGCACCCACGGTTTCAGTGTTCATCCACTGGTGCTGACCTTTTTTGCTGGGGCATTTGTGCGCGCTTTCCCTCCATTGTCTATTTTTTTCGCGCAGGAATCAACAGGTGGGCATTCGTGAGTGCTGCGGCGGGCTTTTGTTGCCCTCGCCGGGACGCGCTTAACGGCGGCAGTTCCATCACTTTGTGCACAAAAGGAATGGGACTTTCTCCGGATCCTCACCGCAGGCGCATGCCGTGGACGGCCGCAAAGGAGTGTGTGCCCGGTGTTGTTCGTAGCTCCAAGGAAAAGATGGTGTTGGATGGAGCACAGCGAGTGGATGTGGAATGTGTCGACCGTGCATCGCAGGTGTATCCGCTGGAGGCATTGCGGGCGGCCGTCGCCACATGTGAGTACAATATATTTAGAGGAAAGAACATTTTTAATTGGTCTCTCAGGTGGAATCCAATGTGCTCAGGCAATGCTTTACGGCAAGGAGTGGCCGGAGGGGACGCACGACGAGGACGCCACTCGCACCGCCATTTATTTCCGTCGCCGCGAGACCACAACGCTGTCCGCGCCAATACGCCTTGCGGATTTTCCGAGGCGGCATGCGCTGTTCTGTTTGTCGCCACTGTTCCCCCATCCCCGAGCGTCGGCGCAGAAGTCCCTGTCGATGCAACTTCCTATCGATTGCGGACACACCCATTGATTGATGCGGCCGGCACCGCCCCCAGCAGCTGGTGCAGTGGGACTGGGGACGAGAACACAGCAGACCAAGTTCAGTCAGATGGTGCTGGCAGCCCTGTCAGCGTCTCGCCTACCACAGCGGCGAGCACAGAAATCGACGGGAAAGGAGAGGAATCAAATGACTGCCAGGAAAACAATTGTCTTTTAACATCGCTCCCTGTCAAACAGCCGGAAGAATGAACGACAACATCAGCCACTAACAATGACGAAGGAACAACGACCACCGCCGATAGCGACAGCAGCACGGCGGTCTTCCACGCCACCTCCCATCCTTTGCGTCTTATTGTAACGTATGCGTGCTGCTGCTGCGGAAGTGGCCGGCCTGCATGAAGTGGTGTGCGCTGAATATGGACGAAGGCCGATGACAACCGAATTATTTTGCGATGCATGTTGGCTGCATTTCCCGTGGACCAACAATCCACGTGGTGTGCGGGGATCTCCTTTTTTAATTGTTCCTTTGCTTTTGCGTTGCTGTGTGCGCTGCACCTCCTCTTGTGTGTGTGCGTATCCTCCGTGAGGGGTGCAGGCACGACGGACCGCTCTCGCCGTGTGTGCATGCGGTGGAGCCCTGTGTGCCGCTCCTGTTTGCTTCTCCCTCTTCCATCTGTGTGTTGGTGTTGCGGCAGGGCTGTGTGTGTCTGTGCCTGTTGCCGTGGATTGGAGTGTGTGTCGTGCGTGGTGTGCGGCGTACGGTGCATGCCTGGCTGCTGCCCTCTCCTCATGTGGTGTGCCCTCTGTGTGTGTCTGCCGCACCTCTCGTCTCCCCTGTTGCTCTCCATGTCCCTCACTGTGCAGATCAGCCCCACACCACTGAACGACCACACTCACGATGATGACGTGCCGTCTGCTGTGCGCCCTGCTGGTGCTCGCCCTGTGCTGCTGCCCGTCCGTATGCGCCGCAGAGACTGAGGAGATCACTGTTGATCTTGAGGCTGAAGATGAAGTGGATGGAAGAGACAACCGTCAATCGCCCCATGCACCAGGAATACCAATGAATCAGAATCAAACTCAGGCTGAATCTCCTGAAGCCGCCCCCAGTCTACCGCCCCCTCCATCAGTGGCACAATCACAGGGGACCGGTCAGCCAGGGTCGTCAAGTAATGGGGCCGCTGCGAAACACGGAAATAATGCGGGAGATACAGGAACCTTGCCTGGTCCGCATTCGCAATCAAGCGGTGCGCATAATACGGTACAAAGAGAAGGTACGGAAGACACGTCAGGGGAAAAAAGTGGCGCGAGTACATCCACAGAACAAGCAATTAAGAAAGTCGACGATTCTGCCGAGACGACGATGACGACCACGACCACTACGACAAAGGCACCAACTACGACCACTACAACTACGACCACAGAGGCGCCAACCACGACGACCACCCGCGCACCGTCACGTCTTCGCGAAGTGGACGGCAGCCTCAGCAGCTCTGCGTGGGTGTGTGCCCCGCTGCTGCTTGCCGCATCCGCGCTGGCGTACACTGCTGTGGGCTGAAGAGGTGTGTGCGGGCTGTGCGTTCCAGCACTCAAAGCCACGGGGACATGTGTTTGCCCACTGTGGTCCGATATAATAAACAAAAGGAGAAAATATTAAGTGTGTTTTGCTTCACTTGCTTCTGCTGCCGTGCTATGTGCTCCGCGTTGCTTCCCCAAATCCGTCAGGTTGAACGCATCGCGGACACACTCATATGCATGCGCAATGGAGCCCTGGTTAGTTTTTTTTTTTCTTTCTTTAATTATTGTTTTTTATTGCTTTTTAAACTTCTTTTTACGCGGTGGTGCGCGAGTTTTGCAGAAGTACTGATTTCAACTGTCTTGTGTTTTGTGCTCACTTCTGCTATGTGCTGCTGTCATTATTTGCTTTGCGGTGGCTGTTGCTTTGCTGTGTGACTTGTCTCTCGTCTTTGCTTTCATTCTGCGTTGACGGGGAGTTGTCTTTTGCTGAGGGCTGCACGCAAGTGACAGGAGTGATGGCGATGATGACTGGCCGTGTGCTGCTGGTGTGTGCTCTCTGCGTGCTGTGGTGCGGCGGTGGTATCGTCTATCCCTGACGTTACCGGTGGTGAAAATGTTCCGCGTGGGTATTTGGTTGTTAATTGGGAAACGTTGCTAAAGAACGAATGTGCGACGGACGAAAATTACATTAATAAGGATGGGACGGTGAATGAGTCGGCGGTGAAAGACTGCATACGCGATGCGATGAGGGTGGTTTGTAACGTTTTTTGTCGCAAGATGTCAGGAGAACCTGACGACTCTGAAGGTGAGCGTATTTGTGAGGAGTACGTTGGCAGCCGAGATGAGGCCGGCCAATCTTCTCATGTAATAACACCGGCGGAAGCAAAAACTCTACAAGCACCAAGGAGCGAGCTGGAGGAATTGGGAAAAACACCGGAAGAGACACCGAAGCCATTATCGGGAGGACCAGCAACCGAAGGTAAAGCAGCAAAACCAACAGGAGGACCACCAACACCGCCAGTGGAAGCACAACACAACGGTGAAGAAAACATGCCGGTTTTACTCTCAGAAGATGACCCAGGGACCACAGAGTCAAACAGTGATTCAGAAGAGGATGACAGCGCCTCCACCACAGACAACCAAGAGAGCGTAACACCCGACGGTCACGACAAATCAACCCCAACATTACTCTCAACCGCCACCGATACTGTCAAAAATGAAGCAGGCAAGATCAATACAGAGGGAACTCAAAAAACTGCGACGGAATCAAATGCCGAAAGAGAAGAAGTAGAGGAAAGCGATGAAAAAACGTATGACAATACGAAAAAAATTCCAGCTGAGGCAGCTGCTACGACACATAATACAGCGATGCCTGGCGACAGTGAGAGCAGCTCCACGGCTCCTCCAGCGGGAGAGTCAGACGCTGCCACAACCACAACACCGAACAATCATGATGCGCGTAGCCTCAACAACAATGGCAACAATACATTCACAGAAGAAGTGGATCAGAAGGAAGCAGCAATAAAACCCAAAAGCGCACCAGACGGCACTGACACCGCAGCAGCCAACAGTGAAGCATCCACAGCAGCCATAAACATCTCCACTAACACAACAAACAAAACAACCACCGGAGACAGTGACGGCAGCACCGCGGTCTCCCACACCATCTCCCCTCTTTTGCTTCTTCTTGTTGTTGCGTGTGCGGCTGCGGTGATGGCCGCGTGAGAGTGAGGGAGAGAGAGCCGTGCACCGCCCGCACACACACTCTTCCTTCTCACTCTCTGTGTGTGTGTCCCCTTGCATGGACTCTCGCCCTCACCTCACCCCACGAGGCACACACAATAATGTGCCCATTGTATATATGCATGCACACCCATGCAGGCCCGTTGGTGCTCTCTTTTGCACGACACGCACCGCTGCCGTCCTGCCTGGCTGCATGGGCGGAGCACCGTAACTGTTTCTGTTTTGTTTTTGTAATTTTTTTAATTTGCTTTTGCTATGAGCGTTTATTTATTTCGTACAAACCCATTCCCTTTTTTTTTGCGTATTTTAAATTTATTTTCCTGTTTGCTTTTTTTCTTGTTTAAAAAAAGTTTTTTCTGTTCTTTTTATTATTATTTTTCATCCCTTGTCCCTCTTTTTTGCTTTTGGGGCAATCACGATGGACCTTTTTCTTTTCTACTCTTCCCTCTTTAATTGTTTGTTGCTGCGCTCTTCCTGTGAGGGGTGCCGTGTGTTTCCCGCCCAGCTGCTCCACTCGCACACCCACCGACACGCTCATGACGACGGCCCTGTGCGCCTCGCCTGCTGCACGCATGAGGAGGGGCCGCGACGAACGGCGCGCTGAGGGAGCCGTGACGTGTGGGCGTGCGACGAGGGCCTGTGGGGCGGAGCACACATTTCTTCCCTCTTGTTTTGTTTTGTTTGCGGCCAGGGCTGGCAGACACCCGCGGCACCACACACACAGCCACACCCTGCCGCCGTGTTTTTCTTTTGTCTTGTTTTGTTTTCTTTTTTTTTTGTGGATGGATGTGTGCTGCCACCGTGCGTGATTGTTGAGGTTGGGCCGTGCCGCACGTATCGCTGCCATCCAGCTGTGCCTCTCGCTGTGCTGATGTGCCTCCCTGTGCTCCTCCTCTTCTCTGCTCCTCCATCACACACAGAGATAAGTGATTGCACAGTGCTCTGCAGGAATGCTCTTGGCGACGGCGGGACGTTGGCTTGCATCCCGTGCCGAGATGGCGAGGCCACTGCGTGTGTGCCTGCGGTGGGAATCACGGTGCCATTGGATGGATGTGTGTGGGACGCCTTTTGCATTGTGCTGGAGGCCGGCTGACGCGGCTGCACGATGCCCGCCATGCGTGAAGGTGTTGCCTGCTCTTGGGGTCGTTCTTCTCTTCCCCCTGTTTTTGCTCTGCCGTGTGCGTGCGTTGCTTGGTGTGTGCTGACGCGTGACGGACGGTGCCACGATGGCCTACTCTGGCATTGACAGTCGCTGTGCTCTCGGCACACATCCACACACTCTTCCTTGTCTCTCTGTGGGAGTGATTGCGGCAGGAGAGTGGTCTACGGCAGCGGCAGCAGGTGTCTTGGAGAGGAACGAGGTGCCGAAGGAGCAGAAGAAGCCGCACCCGCTGGACGAGATTACGATGACGGATGAAGGCATTTTCTAAGTTCTTTTATCGGCTTTCTTCAGAAGTGCGCCGTGTCACCGCCTGACTGGATGCCTGCACTCGGCACCCTTCGAGGCATTGTGTTCTTTCATTCAGTGTGATGTCACGATTATCATGGCAGCATCTTCCTTCACCGACTCTGAGTGTGACAATACGAATGACGGCAAAAGCAGCGATGAGGATGATGACGATTTGCACCGAAGGGCGGATTATTTGCGTGTCTTTGTACACGAATCCCAGGAGGGTTTGAATGCCGTCCTCACAATTCTCGGCCTTGCGGAAATTTTGGGTTTCGCGCTGTTACCCGCCGTCATTAGTGCCCCATGCGTTGAGGCTGATCCATTCACCGTGGATTTCACGCAGCAGCTCTCGAAGGGTTGTGCGGCTATTCCCGCGTTGGCCCTTTCGCATGTATTTCAGCGTTGCCTGGCGTGTGATTTGTTGTGTGTTGTCCAGGCCGCCGCCTCCAGTTTTCTTTTGGTGCCCAATAAGAAGCACTTTGCGTTGCGGTGGATATTTGATTGCGTGGCCGTCGACGCACGTGACGATGCTCAACGGGTGTGTCATTTGTTTGGCGGGCACGAGGGAGACTTCGGTGTGTGCCGATAACTCCGCGAAAGTCTTCGTTGATGGATCGGGGCGAAAATAAGGGAGGTCTGTCCGCCGCATCTCTCAAGGCAGCTGCGGGGCACTCCGGACGCACAGAGTGGGTGGATGGATGCCGCGCAGCTGGGGAGACCAGTTTTCTTCTCTGTCCTCCGTTGCCGGGGAAAATCGGGAATCCACGGCGCCACTGCCAGCTGCATTTTACTGCCGGGTATCGACTGTGCTGAAGTTGCCCGTCTAATGTGAATCGCAGCGTCAGTGCAGGAAGACACTTTCACGCATTGCGAGTAGTTGCTCCAGCCTCGAGCTCATCAATATTCACGGCAGGGAGCAATGCATTGTGGTGGCCGGTGACGTTCAGAAGAGTGTGTTTCACTTCACCCGCCTCGTATTTGTGAGGGACACTGCGCATCGACCCTCCCCAACAGTCCCACCACCTTCACCTTCCTCGCCGACCGCTGCCCTCTGCTGACGGCGCAGTTGTTTGGCTCCGCCAATAATGCGCTCGTGAAACTTCCTCTCCGCACACTGCGGGGTTATTTTGTTTTTGGCGATGCAAGAATTCCAGGGACACCGCAACTGTGTGCAACACAAACTAATCTCCGCAGTGGACCCTATTTTTCTGCGGTGTCGCCATCGCGATCCCGTCATTGTGTACTTGTTGCAATTTTGTGGGGTTGGGCCAGTGCAGCCGTTGGATGTCCGGCTCGCTTTTGCTTTGGTTGCTTTGTGTTTCAGGGAGAACAATTTCAAGTCGTTTCACGATCAGGATAGTGGAGACACTGCTGTGAGCAACTCTGCGGAGTATTATGGGCTGGTGGAGGAGGAGAGAGGCGACGGGGGAGGAATTGGTGGCAGCAGTCGGCGTGTCTCTTTTCCAGGGAGATGGAGACGCGTGGAGCAGAAACAACATCACTCCTGCCAACGACAATTCGACGCTTTGTGCGGGCGATGGAGGGTGCGACAGACATGCCTGTTGCCTGCACTCTTCGTGTGACCGACGGATCGCGGCTTTTGGATGACCGCTTTTCAACAAAAATGCCGGAAGAACGGTGTACGCCAGGTGGATTCGAGACGACAGGCCTCAGGCCGATTGACGACGTTGTGAGGGATGTGGTGCTGCCGTGGCGTTGGGAACGATGCGGTGCTGCCGTGGCGGTTTTTATTTTGTGCCTTCTTGCAACTTTGTTCCTGCCGTGGAGGAGTTGATGTCATGTGGTGCGGGTGTGGCGTCGGCTGAGTCATCCACACTTTGTTTTAGAAGCATTACTTTGAGTCGTGTCAGCCACGCTGTGTTTTCCTTTTCTTGCTGGGAGTCTTGTGGGTGTGCATGAGCCCTTTAGGAGGCCGGCTAAATCAATGAATGGCATATATGTACCCCGATGAAACGAACATACACTTCTTTACGACACTTTTCTACCGCATGAATTTTGTGAGGGCCACGAATTTAAGGGGCAGCAGGGAACCGATAGCGGCCGGATTTATTTTTATTTTTTAATTTTACCGTCTCACCCAACCCCTTTTTTGATTTCCCACCACGCGGCGGGGTCTTGTGGCTGCAGCACCCCAAAAGCCTGCCACCTCGTAAGCAGTAAATAAATAAATAAATATATGCATCCTATCCGAATAGAGTGAGCGGGCCACGATTGTGGCTAAAGAATGTATACGTATATATAAGCATACACTTGCCTGGTGTTGAGCCTTGAGGGTGGGGTGAATCCACTCTTATTCCGTTTATCCCTTTTCTCATTCCTACCTTGTTTGGTCTTTATGATTGGGAAACTGGGGATTTGGCCAGCGGCCCGGAAGATTATTCTTTATTGCAGCACTTTACCGGCGAAAGGCAGGAACAACACAAACCGAATTGTTGGCTGCAGCAACACAAGAAACATTCACAAGAGGAAACACATAATTATGCACCCTGCAGGAATCCCCAACTCACGATGCAGGCATGAGGGTTTGCTCTCCGCAAAGCAACACCACGCATGCGGACATCTGCCAACATTCAAACAGAAACACAGATAAATGGTTGCTTGTTTCATTCCATTAGTTGTGCTTATATTTTTGCGTGTGCGGCTGCTGCTGCGGTGGCCGGTCTGCATGAAGTGGTGTGCGCTGAATATCAACGAAGGCCAAAGGCAACCGAACTTTTTTTGTGATGAATATTGGCTGCACTTCCCGTGGACCAACAATCCACGTGGTGTGCGGGGATCCCCTTTTGTGTTGTTACTTTGGTTTTGTGCTGCTGTGTGTGCTGCACCTCCTCTTGTGTGTGTGCGTATCCTCCGTGAGGGGTGCAGGCACGACGGACCGCTCTCGCCGTGTGTGCATGCGGTGGAGCCTTGTGTGCCGCTCTTGCTTGCTTCTCCCTCCTCCATCTGTGTGTTGGTGCTGCGGCAGGGCTGTGTGTGTGTGTGCCTGTTGCCGTGGGTTGGAGTGTGTGTCGTGCGTGTTGTGCGGCGTACGGTGCATGCCTGGCTGCTGCCCTCTCCTCATGTGGTGTGCCCTCTGTGTGTGTCTGCCGCACCTCTCGTCTCCCCTGTTGCTCTCCATGTCCCTCACTGTGCAGATCAGCTCCACACCACTGAACGACCACACTCACGATGAAGACGTGCCGTCTGCTGTGCGCCCTGTTGGTGCTCGCCCTGTGCTGCTGCCCTTCAGTATGCGTTGCGCAGGATACTGAAAAGGTTGAAGAGTCTGCCAAGACGACTACGACCACAACGACGACTATGCAGCCACCGGACCCTAAAACTAACCCTAAAGCTGGTGCTCAAGCAAATTTAGGTGTCACAATTTCATCGTCCTCCTCAACAGAGGGAATGGAGGGGAAGGATCAGCCAAGTCCGCACGCACCGCCAGTGAATAAGCCGGCTGAGAAGCCAGGAGAAGATGCCGTAGCGGGAAAAAGTTTGACCGGTACGACAGGGTTACAAAGTGACACTAATAAATCTGCAGACCACACAGATAAGGAAGACGAAGAACCCGCAAAGACGACCACGACCACTACGACAAAGGCACCAACTACAACCACTACAACTACGACTACGGAGGCGCCAGCCACGACGACCACCCGCGCACCGTCACGTCTTCGCGAAACCGACGGCAGCCTCAGCAGCTCTGCGTGGGTGTGTGCCCCGCTGCTGCTCGCCGCATGCGCGCTGGCGTACACCGCTGTGGGCTGAAGAGGTTTGTGTGGGCTGTGCGTGCCAGCACTCAGCCACGGGGACATGTGTTTGTCCACTGTGGTCCGATGTATAAAGTATGAGTAATTATGATGATTGTGTTGCTTCATTTGCCTCCGCTGCCGTGCTGTGTGCTCCGCGTTGTGCCCCACATCTGCCACGTTGAACGCATCGCGGACACACTCGTATGCATGGGCAGCGGAGCTCTGGGTTTGTTTTTCTTTTTATTAATTATTGTTTCTTATTGCTTTTTAAACTTCTTTTTGTAGTGTTTTGCGCGAGTTCTGCAATCATACTGATTTCAACTGTTTAGTAGTGTGCGCGCCGCTGCTATGTGTTGCCATTTATGGTTGTGCGTGGTTTAGCGGCCATTTTTCCCCTTTGCTTTCACTCTGCGTTGAAGTGTTGTTATTTTTTGCTGAAGGCTACACGCAAGTGACAGGAGTGATGGCGATGATGATGTCTGGCCGTGTGCTGCTGGTGTGTGCCCTCTGCGTGCTGTGGTGCGGTTTGGTGTCGGCCGATGCCGGGGGTGACGATTTTTCTGGTGGTCATGGAACTTTAGGCGGAAGTGGAGTTGGGGCTGATGGTAGACCTTCACTCCCGGTTGGTGGTGATATATCCACTGGAGGTACAAAAGATGAATGTTCTCTGGGAAGTGGAGGTGGCTCTCCGGTTTCTGCTTCTCCTGCTTGCAAATCTTTACTTTCTGATGCGGAAAATCCCGGGGGTAAGGCTTTAAATGACACCAAGAAAGGATTATCCCGTGTTGAGGAGGACCCCGATGCTGAGCAGGATCCGCCACAGCCAGGGTCTCACGTTGTATCGACAGCCGAGGTGCTAGCACCAGGACAACCCAATTCTGAGGCACAAGAGCAGTCGTCCGGTAAACTAAGAACAGAAGAGGGGCGTAATAATGGTGATGGCGGCACAACTGCGAAAGAAGAAGTGACTGGCGTGGAGAGTAGAGACACTGCTGACTTGTCCCCCAACGACAGCCGCCCGCCAAAAGCAGCACGACCAGTGACGGGGGAAGAGAAAGGCACAGAGAAACAGGCTGCATCAAGGGCGTCATTAACGCCAGCAGAGGGACGAGGGACATCTGCTGCGACGGATCAAAAAGTGGAATTGCCGAAGGAGAAGGCCGCGTCCAGCGCGGGTGCCACAAACATTCGGTCACCTGTCGGTCAACAACAAACAGAACCTTCATCTCCTTTTACGAGTGGAAGTACTTCGACTCTGACTCCGGAAAAGGAACCCGCTGGGGAGGTCCATTCCAACAATAACCAACCACCTGGTGACGCAGTACCGACAGAAGGAACGCAACATGAGACTCTTCCTGGCGACAAAACGCAAACAGAACCAGCAACTACAAACAACAAACTGATTGACGCAGCTCCAACTGGCGACAGTGAGAGCAGCCCCACAGCTCCTCCAGCGGGAGAGTCAGACGCTGCCACAACCACAACCCCGAACAATCATGATGCGCGTAGCCTCAAAAACAATGGCAACAATACATTCACAGAAGAAGTGGATCAGATGGAAGCAGCAATAAAACCCCAAAGCGCACCAGACGGCACTGACACTGCAGCAGCCAACAGTGAAGCATCCACAGCAGCCGTAAACATCTCCACTAACACAACAAACAAAACAACCACCGTCGACAGTGACGGCAGCACCGCGGTCTCCCACACCACCTCCCCTCTTTTGCTTCTTCTTGTTGTTGCGTGTGCGGCTGCTGCGGTGGTGGCCGCGTGAGAGTGAGTGTGAGAGAGCCGTGCACCGCCCGCACACACGCGTCTTTCACTCACTCTCTGTGTGTGTCCCCTTGCATGGACTCTCGCCCTCACCTCACCCCACGAGGCACACACAATAATGTGCCCATTGTATATATGCATGCACACCCATGCAGGCCCGTTGGTGCTCTCTTTTGCACGACACGCACCGCTGCCGTCCTGCCTGGCTGCATGGGCGGAGCACCGTAACTGTTTCTGTTTTGTTTTTATTGCATTGAGTGGGCGACCTCTCTCTCTCTCCCTCTGTGTGTGTGTTTTGCTTTACGGGAGCAATGAGAGTGTGTGTGCGCTGGTCGTCCCACGCTGCGGCTTTTTGTTTTGGTTTCTTTTTGATTTTGTGGTTGAGTGCACCCATTCCGCGGCTGCGTGTGTGTGTTATGATATGAGTAATTTGTGTGTGTGCTATCTGCCTCTCTCTGCCGTTGCTTTCTTCAGACTCTCTTGTGGCGCACAGCTGCTCCGCAAGTATAGGCGCTGCCAAACACACAAGCACATGCACACACAAATGCCGTGTTTAAAACGCTGAGAATGCACGCACGCACAGGATTGTGGCTGCGGAGGCCCTCGCGAGGGGGGAAAAAGCCTGCGTTTTGTTTTTTTTTGACATGTTGCTCGGTGTGTGCTGACGCGTGACGAATAATGACGCACTCTCTGTCACCCCTCCTGCTGCTGGTGGTGGCAACAGTTGCCGTGTGCTCCCGGTGCACTGTTCTTCCTTCTCGTTCCGTGTGTCAGTGTGCGTGAGTTGTTGTTGTTGGGAGTGGCTGCGGCGGGGATGATGGTGCCACTCACTGTGGATGGGCGGCGGTGTTCACTGTTTCACTCCTTTTTCCTCTTCTCTCTCTTTCCCATACACTAGGAAAGAAAGCAAACAAGCGCTAATCGCTACTGTGAATTCGAAGGCACTGAAAGGAACAACAGCACACACACCGCCCACACACACATATTTGTATGCTCTCACGTGTTGCTGCAGTGAAGGCACCCCGCACACACAACCGTCGCCGCGTGACCGGATCCCGCGGAAGAAGGAGGAAAGGAAGAGAGAGTGAGCCGCAGAGGCCCAACATGTCCCGGCGTGTGTTTACTTCCGCGGTGCTGCTCCTCGTCGTGATGATGTGCTGCGGCAGTGGAGCTGCAGCCACTGAGGGCACGTCGTCAGCTTCAGGATTTTCACCGGATAAAAGTTTTGTTTGGAGAGATAAGAACGGGGGTGAAACAGTGAGTTCGTTACGTGTTCCAGTTCTTGTTGAGATGGATGGTGATGTGTTTGCTGTTGCCGAGGCGCAGTTGAAGGAGGGAGAAAGCAATTTTACTGGGATTGCCTCGGAGCTTCTGGAGTGGACCGATGAAGAATCAAAAGGGGAGTTGGATGCAACTAAACTGAAGACACAAGTGCTGGAGGAATGTCCATCCGACAAAAAGAATTGTGCCTCCCATTCAGAAGCTCAAGATGCTTCCCAAAGCTGGACAAAAGTGCGTGTGAGCCGACCAACAACAGTCGTGCAGGGAAGTGATATTTACATGTTCGCTGGAACTTACAGTTTTGAAGTTACTGAAGGCGCTGCTGGTAGCAAAGCTGCAGCAACTAAATGGGAGCTTTTGGTGGCTGTGGGAAACGTCAGTAACGATGAGAGCAGCGGTAAAAAAAAAATTTGTTGGAAAGACACCTCCGTTATCCCGTGGACTGGTTTTGAAAAAGAACACGAGTCATTGACAGGGCTGATTGGCGGCGGTGGATCGGGTATTCAGATGGAGGACGGCACGCTTGTGTTTCCCGTGGAAGGCACGAAGAATGGAAAGACCGTTTCGCTGATATACTCCTCAGCCACTGAGAGTGGGAAGCTGTCGAAGGGGATGTCTGCCGATGGCTGCAGTGATCCCTCCGTCGTGGAGTGGAAGGACAAACTCATGATGATGACTGCGTGTGGTGACGGCCGCCGCAGGGTGTACGAGTCCGCTGACAAGGGGGATTCGTGGACGGAGGCACTCGGGACACTCTCGCGTGTGTGGGGCAACAAAAAGGGCGTTAGGAGCGGGTTCATCACAGCGAGGATTGAGGACAGGAATGTGATGCTCGTTACTCTGCCGGTGTACGCCAAAAAAGAAGAAAAGGAAAATGTGGAAAAAGGTGAACTCCATCTTTGGCTGACGGACAATACGCACATTGTTGATGTTGGGCCGGCATCTGTGGAAGGAGACGATGTTGCCGCCAGCTCCCTGTTGTACAAAAGCGGAGATAATAATGAGTTGATTGCACTGTACGAGAAGAAGAAGGGCGGTGGGGATACACCATCACCCGGTATGGTCTCTGTGCGTCTGACTGCGCAGCTGAATCGGGTGAAGGAGGTGCTGACGACCTGGAAGAAGGTGGACGAACGTGTCTCTCAGCTGTGCACCACTTTACTTGCTCAGAAGGATCCCTCAGCTTACACTGCCTGCAGCGCTGATAAGATCACGGATGGGCTGGTTGGCTTTTTGTCCGGCAGCTTCTCTGAGGACACATGGAGGGACGAGTACCTCGGAGTGAACGCCACAGTTGAGGGTGGTGCAGCAAAGGCAACAAAGACTTCCGATGGAGTGACGTTCCATGGAGCGTGGGCGGAGTGGCCCGTTGGCAAGCAGGGGGAGAATCAGCTGTACCACTTTGCGAACTACAACTTTACTCTTGTGGCGACGGTGTCCATCGACAAGGTGCCGGAGGAGGGAGATACTCCCATTCCTTTGATGGGTGTGAAGATGAATGATGGAAAGACTGTACTCCTGGGACTGTCGTACAACAACAAAGAAAAGAAGTGGCAGCTGCTGTGCGGTGGCGGAACGAAGTCGGAAGGGCTTAGCAGCAATTGGGAGCCAGGGAAAACAAAACGCCACGTGGTAATTTTGCAACGGAACGGCAACCAGGGCACCGCGTACGTCGATGGTCAGCGTGTGGGGAATGAGCAATGTGCATTTGGAAATTCGGAATCGCAAGAGATCTCACACTTCTACATTGGAGGGGATGGAGAGAACACAGCGGGTGACGAAGACGTGTCTGTGACGGTGACGAACGTCCTGCTGTACAACCGCCCGTTGGATGAAGCAGTGATTACTGCGCTTCACACGGAAAGCGTTACTATTCCAAAGCTGGATCATGCAAAACCAGAGCCGAGGGGTACTCCGTCTACTCCTGCCGGGCAACAGCCGTCGGAATTGGGGCATTTGGTGGGAAGCAGTAAAGTTGCGAGTGGTGGTGTGGAGGGGGCCGATCCACAGATCAGGGGAGTAAATGCCACGGCACTCAGCAGCAACCTCGTAAATGTGTCGCAAGAAAATAACAGCGATGCCAGCAGTATGCGTGGGAGCGGACTGCTGCCATCGCTGCTTCTTCTGTTGGGACTGTGGGGGCTTGCGGCCCAGTGAGGCGTGACTGGCTGCCGCGTGGGACAATTGCGACCTTCCGAGCACAGAATTACTTCCAAGAACTAACTTTTTCCTTAAGATATTTTCTTCTTTTTTTTTTTGCTTTTTATAATTTTTTGTTTTGTTTCTGAGCGTTTTTTTCTTTTTGTTTTAATTCTTTTCTTTTTGTTTTGTTTTTTTATTGCTGTGCGTTTTTGTTTTTGTTCTTTTTGTTTTAATTTTTTTCTGTTTTTTTTTTCATTTTTTTTTTTTTTCATTTTTTTTTTTTTTTACTCCCCATCCCTCTTTTTTGCTTTTGGGGCAATCACGATGGACGTTTTTCTTTTCTACTCTTCCCTCTTTAATTGTTTGTTGCTGCACTCTTCCTGCGAGGGGTGCCGTGTGTTTCCCGCCCAACTGCTCCACTCGCACACCCACCGACACGCTCATGACGACGGCCCTGTGCGCCTCGCCTGCTGCACGCATGAGGCGGGGCCGCGACGAACGGCGCGCTGCGGGAGCCGTGACGTGTGGGCGTGCGACGAGGGCCTGTGGGGCGGCGCACACATTTCTTCCCTCTTGTTTGTTTTGTTTGCGGCCAGGGCTGGCAGACACCCGCAGCGCCACACACACACAGCCACACCCTGCCGCCGTGTTTTTCTTTTGTTATTTTGTTTTTTGTGTTTATTTCACGCGCCGGCAGTCTCGTCAGCATTTCTTTCCCTCCTGATGATTTCTTTTCTTTTGCTGCGCTCACTTTCCCGATGGAGTGACGCGACTCCCGTCATGTCTGCGTGCTTCTCTCAGTCCCCACACACACGAGTGACTGTGCTCTGCGGGCCGCACTCGCACGCCGATGAGAGGGCTGAGGGGAGCAGCAACACGCAGATGACCCCGTGAAATATAAACGATGTGCGGACACACGGAGGGTCAGACGGCTGAAAGACATTTAAATACCTTTTAATTTTCTTTTGTGGGCAAAATATATACAGACAGTTTGGTGTGGCCACACGGCAGCCGGCTGCTTTTTTAAATTTATTTGTGTGGAACAGTAATGGACGTTTTCTTTTTACTTATGATTATTTTGTGTGATGGGGTTTATATAAGACGAAGGGGAAAGCTTTTTTTTGTTTTGGATAAATCTTGTGTGAATTGCCACTGCTTGGGCTGCAGTGCAGTCATGAGTTTGAGCGGTCGTCTTGTTGCTTCCGTTATGCGTCTCCGCTGTACGTTTTTGTGCGTCCCTCCACATACTCTGCTCCCTTTTCTACTTCTTTGCTTTGTGTTTCTGCAGGCACACAACACACACACAAGATGCACATTGCAGTGGATTTGAATGCTTCTTTTGCAGTGCATGCTGGCAGCTGCGTGTGGCTGTTGTCTTCTTCCGTGGCCATGAGGAGAAGGGAGGAGGGAGTGCGCAGCCCGAGTCTCTTTTCCTGCGGGTGTGATGCACCGCGTGTGACTGCGTTGAGCTGGGCTCCGTGTCCCATTGAGGGCGGGATGGCAGGAAATTTTGTTGCCGCGTCATGGATGGATGAGGGTGCACTGTCGCGTGTGGCTGGTGTGGTGGGTGCTTGCTCCGTGTTTGTGACGGCTGTTGGGAGTGCTGGAGATTTATCTGGTGATGCGGATGCGGTGGTTGTGCCGGTGGATGTGTCGTGTGCTCCGAGTGACGGCAGCCTGAGCTATCGCGTGTGTGCGTGTGTGTGGAGGAATTGTTCTGCTGCCAGTGCTGAGGCTGAGTGTGAGAATTATACTTTCAGTGGCTTTGGTGTGCGCATGCATTGCAGAGATGGTGAGCTGGGTGCTGTGTGCCATGTGGCCCATGCGGTGCACACATGTAGCAACTGTGCTGCCAGCTGTGCAACGAAGGAGGAAGGGGCCACCGTTGCCTTCACGATGAATGTGACGACACATAAATACGCCGGCCCTTATGAATTGTTGTGGCGTCAATTTCCCCCGATGGAACCATCCATCCGCCTGCACGGAGCAGCGATGCTGACCGGACGGGCATCTGTCAGTTGCTTCCACCCCGTGAAGGGAAGGATGACACGAAATCTGGTGGGACAACTGCACCGCAAGTTAATGCTGAGCCGTCACGTCAAAACGAGGATTGGCGACGGTCTGCGGCGGCTGACGCACCCAACACCGTCGATCCGAGTCCCGCATCCAACACGGCGACCAACACGTCCGAGACGAGGCCTGAGTTTGCCAGCAATCCGAACGAAATGATGGTCCCGAATGCATCCAAGAAGAGGCCTTCCTTTGCCAAAGGTCCGAGAATATTAGTGGCGTCGAATGCATCCGGGATTATGTCTGTCACTTGTGGCGGCAGGGAACACGTTGCTGCGGATAACACGGACGAGGTGAATGAGCGCAGCGCCACTGGACACAAATCCCTCGTTTTAGAAAATGGCGTTGCAGGCAGTGGATTTGTTGCTGAGGGTGATGCGGACGGATTGACTCAACGCAATGCCTCTGGACACGATAGCAAACCCCTATTACGATAATTCACCGCGCAGTAATCCGGAAACGGTGTGAGTCCCGACGACTGCTTTGCCCTGCACAACGACGCGAAATTGACACTGCGAGAGTTAACTGCTGACGGCACTGTGCGTGCGTGTGTGTGTTGGGAGTGGCTGCTTCTTTTGGGATTGTGTGGATTTGCGACTCAGCACGGAGGACATGTGCCGCGTTTCCTGCGTGTTTTCTTTCATTATTTACATTTTACTGTTGGTTTTCGTTGTTCTCCTGGAATAATGAGCGTCCTTTATTATTTCATGGTCGGTTGCTGCACACCGTCATGAGTGACATGTTTCCCCCTCTTTTTGTTTGTTGCCCACACGCGGTGCCGGCGCTGCGGCTGTGCGTCCCACGGACTGCGCGAAACGATGAGTGGAATAACACGCCGGATGCCGCATGAAATGTGAGGGATGTTGTGTGGGCTCATGGAACGATACGTTTTTTAAAGTTTTATTTCCTCTTGTGGTGCGGGCAATATATGTATGCACAACCACACGATCCTCTTCTGTGCTGCATGGCACATGAAATAAAAGTATTGTCCGATTGATTTTTTTTGTTTTAATTTTACGGGAGTTTTGCCTGACTCTCAACTATTTTGTCTTCCGTTTTTTGCTGCTGTGTTTTTTCTTGCTTGTTTAACTTCTGGTCTGAGGGACGGTGTGCGAGTCCTGCAGTTGTAATGATTCCGTCTGTCTTTTTTGGTGCGCGCTTCTTCTGGCTGCTGCCATTTATTACCATGCGGTGGCTGTCCGTGGTGTAGCTGCTGTCTCTCTACTTCCTTTCTCATGCTCCTGCGGATCGAATCCAAGTTATTCAACAGCGATAGTTTCGATGATGCGCCGTGTGTTCTGTGTCGTGTTGGCGCTTACACTGCTGTGCTGCTGCTTGTGCGTGTTTGCCGCGGAGGAGGAAGTGGAGGAGGAGGTGCTGCCGGTGGATGCGGTGTGTGCGGGTGACGGTGAAAACGTTGGGCGCTGGCAACTCCGTGGGAGGCCACTGTGGTACAACTGCACGGCTGAAGCTAGCGGTTTGGGAAAGATGATTTGCGGCATGGGCGCTGGAAACTGTGCCCCGGAGGATGTTAAAAAACGTGTTGAAGGGAATGCGAAGGATGGCGTCTTCGAGATCAAATTCCATACGCCCACTCCAGGCCGGGTGAAGAGTTGGTGGGAGAGTAACGTGGAGCCGAAGCCGGCCACCGCTGCAAGTGGTCCGGCCAAACCTGCGGAAGAAAGACCTCCGGTGGATCGAGAGGAGGAGGCTCCTCGTGACACCACCACAATAAGTTCAGGATCTTCTCCCGCTGGCGTTGGGGGTTCCGCTGGTGCCCTTTCTTTGCCACCTACAACTCCGCGTGACGCTGGTGCTAACGCTGCTGCTGGCGCTGCGGGCAAGACGGATCCTTCTCCTCCTGCGACTTTGCAAGCGCAGAATCCCGCTCCCTCTGGTGAACTTCAAGGCGCTGCACATTCTGCTTCTGCTGCGTCAGAATCCCCACCAGATCCGGAGCCCACAGAGAGCGGGGAACACTCCTCCCATGACCCTCCAGCGGGACGACAGGAAGAGACTGTTGATGCGCCACCGACTCGGTTGTCCCAGACCGGCGAGGACGGTGGCGCAGCGGAAGGCGCCGAAGAGGACACCGCCAACACCACCGACGCCGCCACCAGCGAAGGCAATGCTACGGCGGCAGGCATGCCTGGTCCCCTTTCCTCTGCGCCCACAACGAGGGCGTTGGAGAACAGTGCGGGAAATGACGCCTGCTTCCACGACCCCCGTCTGCATACCCGGCTGCTGCTTGTTTTGGCTGCGCTCACGTACGGGACACTGGGCTGAAGAATTGAATGCGTGCTATAATTGCCAGCACTCAATCACAGGAATCCGTGCGTTTCTTTTTGTTTTTACGTAATAAATAATAGAAAATAATGAACATTTGTTTTGCTTCATTTGCTTCAGCTGTGCTGCTGTGTGCTTCATTTTGCTGCTCCCTATACCCGTCACGTTGAAGGAATCCCAGACACACTCATATGCACGACACGTCCAGTACTGTTTGCGTGGACATATTTGTGTGTGTGGGTGCATGCACACTGGATCCATTTGTTGCGGCTTCTTTTTTTTCGTGTTCTTATATTTTTAATTTCCTTCTTCTTGCTTGCTGTTCTTTTTGCTTTTAGCTTGCCGCGGGACGTTGTGTGTGTTCTTTAATGATTTAAATTTCTTAATTTTTTCTTTTGTTTTTTTCTTTCATCCCTCTTTTTTGCTTTTGGGGGCAATCACGATGGAAGTTTTTTTTTTCTACTCTTCCCTCTTTAATTGTTTGTTGCTGCGCTCTTCCCGTGAGGGGTGCCGTGTGTTTGCCACCCAACTGCTCCACTCGCACACCCACCGACACGCTCATGACGACGGCCCTGTGCGCCTCGCCTGCTGCACGCATGAGGAGGGGCCGCGACGAACGGCGCGCTGAGGGAGCCGTGACGTGTGGGCGTGCGACGAGGGCCTGTGGGGCGGCGCACACATTTCTTCCCTCTTGTTTTGTTTTCTTGCGGCCAGGGCTGGCAGACACCCGCAGCACCACACACACAGCCACACCCTGCCGCCGTGTTTTTCTTTTTCTTTTTTGTTTCTTTTTTTTTATTAGATGGACGTGTGCCGCCACCGTGCGTGGTTGTTGATGTTGGGGCCGTGCCGCACGTATCGCTGCCATCCAGCTGTGCCTCTCGCTGTGCTGATGTGCCTCCCTGTGCTCCTCCTCTTCTCTGCTCCTCCAGCACACACAGAGATAAGTGATTGCACAGTGCTCTGCAGGAATGCTCTTGGCGACGGTGGGACGTTGGCTTGCATCCCGTGCCGAGATGGCGAGGCCACTGCGTGTGTGCCTGCGGTGGGAATCACGGTGCCATTGGATGGATGTGTGTGGGACACCTTTTGCATTGTGCTGGAGGCCGGCTGACGCGGCTGCACGATGCCCGCCATGCGTGAAGGTGTTGCCTGCTCTTGGGGTCATTCTTCTCTCCTCGTTGTTTTTGCTTTGCCGTGTGCGTTGCTCGGTGTGTGCTGACGCGTGACGGACGGTGCCACGATGGCCTCCTCTGGCGATGACAGTCGCTGTGCTCCTGGCACACATCCACACACAATTCCCTGTGTCTCTCTGCGGGAGCTGGATGAGTTGAAGATCGATTACAGCCACACGGACACCCGCACAGTTGCTGCGCCGTACTTCTTCCAGCACTGCGATGCCGCCGGCTGCACGACGTTGTGGTACAACAAGTACAACAAGATGCAGTGCATGACGGCCAACCTGATCCGTGTGTGGTTGCAGCGCATGGAGCACGTGGGCCAGTACGCGTTGGGCGCTGCACTCATGTTTGTGGAGCAGAGGCGGCACGACATTGTGGCGCTGTGTGTGTTGGGCGGCCGGGCATGCCGGCGATTTTGAGGGCCGTGGTGGACACGGAGCTGTTTGACTGAGAGGAGGTGGAATTTGCAGCGCAGCGTGAGTGCATGACGGACTGCCTGTGCTGGGAGGGCCCGACGATCCCGAGGCCTGTGCTGGAGGGTCTGAGGAAAGAGAGTAACAGTAATGGTGACTGTGGAGTGTGAGAAAAGGTGCACGGCGAGGAGCGCTCCTCTTTTGCTTTGTTTTGATTGTTGTTGAGCGGCGCCCACCTCATTTTTGTTGTGGTGCGTGACTCTCGTTGCTGGATTGGGTGGTGCGTGGTTGTGTGATTTGTCTCTCCTTTTGCTTTGTGTTGGCGGAGTGTTAGTTTGTGCTGAAGGCTGCACGCAAGTGACAGGAGTGATGGCGATGATGACTGGCCGTGTGCTGCTGGTGTGTGCCCTCTGCGTGCTGTGGTGCGGCGTTTCGGTGGTGATGGCGTCCAACGTTGGTGGTTTGGCTCCTCACGCAGAAATCAACGTTTTTTTTGGCCGGTGGTATTCATTGATGATGGGCGATTGTGAAAATACTTCAGCGTTCGAAAACGGCACGGTGAATGAGTCCGCAGTTGAGGAATGCAAACGTGAAGCGAAAAAGGCCCTTTGTGACTTTTTTTATGGCGACCATTCGGGTGAACATGACGCATCTCATTTGCACTCTATTTGTTCGCCGGATGTTGGCTCCGGAGGGGCTGTTGATCAGCAGGCACAGGAGCAAATCCTCACGTTGCGTGAAACAGGAAATCCAGCACCGCCAACAACTCCACAGGGTTTGTCAGAGGAATCGCCGGACACACCACCAACACCGGCATCTGCAGGAGCCTCCTCACAAGCACCGCCCATCCAAGCATCAACGGAACCAACAGTACTCGCAAAACAAGCAGAGCCCAACACTGCGGGCTCGGTGCCGCCGAAGCAGTCACAGGGAGGAGCAGAGGCAATGCGTCCACCTCAAGAACCTCCAAAGGTATCCAGTATACACGACACAGCTACCCAAAGGGATCCACCAACTGAGGATCGGGCGGAACAAACATTACCCCCAGCAAAAGCCAATGATAATTCCAGCGATCACAGTGAAGAGGGCACCGCGGAGGAAAGCACCGTTGATACTCCAGCATCAGGTGCTGTGCAGACAGAAGGAAACGAAAGTGAAACACCGGGCAGCGGCTTGAAGAAAACAAAAACACCGCACACTACAGTTGAAGGAAGTAACATAGTAAAGCCTGGCGACAGTGAGAGCAGCTCCACGGCTCCTCCAGCGGGAGAGTCAGACGCTGCCACAACCACAACCCAGAACAATCATGATGCGCGTAGACTCAACAGCAATGGCAACAATACATTCACAGAAGAAGTGGATCAGATGGAAGCAGCAATAAAACCCCAAAGCGCACCAGACAGCATTGACACCGCAGCAGCCAACAGTGAAGCATCCACAACAGCCATAACCATCTCCACTAACACAACAAACAAAACAACCACCGGAGACAGTGACAGCAGCACCGCGGTCTCCCACACCACCTCCCCTCTTTTGCTTCTTCTTGTTGTTGCGTGTGCGGCTGCTGCGGTGGTGGCCGCGTGAGAGTGAGTGTGAGAGAGCCGTGCACCGCCCGCACACACACTCGTCTTTCACTCACTCTCTGTGTGTGTCCCCTTGCATGGACTCTCGCCCTCACCTCACCCCACGAGGCACACACAATAATGTGCCCATTGTATATATGCATGCACACCCATGCAGGCCTGTTGGTGCTCTCTTTTGCACGACACGCACCGCTGCCGTCCTGCCTGGCTGCATGGGCGGAGCACCGTAACTGTTTGTTTTTTATTTTTTTTTGTAATCTTTTTTATTTGCTTTTGCTATGAGCGTTTATCTATTTCGTACAAACCCATTCCCTTTTTTTCTGCGGATTTTAAATTTATTTTCCTGTTTGCTTTTTTTCTTGTTTTAAAAAAGTTTTTTTTGTTTTTTTTATTATTATTTTTCATCCTCCATCCCTTCTTTTTTTTGCTTTTGGGGCAATCACGATGGACCTTTTTCTTTTCTACTCTTCCCTCTTTAATTGTTTCTGCTGCGCTCTTCCCGTGAGGGGTGCCGTGTGTTTGCCACCCAACTGCTCCACTCGCACACCGCCGACACGCTCATGACGACGGCCCTGTGCGCCTCGCCTGCTGCACGCATGAGGCGGGGCCGCGACGAACGGCGCGCTGAGGGAGCCGTGACGTGTGGGCGTGCGACGAGGGCCTGTGGGGCGGCGCACACATTTCTTCCCTCTTGTTTTGTTTTTCTTTGCGGTCAGGGCGGGCAGACACCCGCAGCGCCACACACACAGCCACACCCTGCCGCCGTGTTTTTCTTTTTTTTCTTTGGACGGGTGTGTGCCGTTGCCACCGTGCTGTGTTGGAGAATGGGGAGCAGCACCGGACGTATCGCTGTCCAGCTTTGCATCCTCAGTCTCTTCTTTAATTAATGGGTGTCTGCGACATACCGACATGAGTGAAGTGCTTCTTTTCTTTTTTGCTTTTTACTGCCTACACGCGGTGCCGGCTCTGCGGCTGTGCGTCCCATGGACTGCACGAAACGAGGATTGGAAGAACAGGCCGGATGCCGCGCGAAATGTGAAGGATGTTGTGTGGGCTGGTGGAACAGTAAGGTCTTTTCTTTGACTTTTTTTTCTTGTTGCAGGCAATATGCACACACAAACACATGACTGCATGTTACTCCCTGGTACATGAAATAAACTTTTTTCCGAATCATTTTTTCCTTTTTATATTTTTAGGAGTTTTTCTGGACTCTCACCCTTTTTTTTGTGTTTTGGTAAATAGCCACGGTTTATTTTATTTTTTGTGTTGTGTTCACTACCACTGTGTGTCTCCGTGTTCCGTTGAGTATCTCTCTGCTGGCTGTGCTGTTGACATGCCCCGCTTCTTTTTACTGCTTGAGGCATCGATGGTCCGCGACGACGATTGTTTTTGTTCCCCATTGCGATGGCACGAGGGTGACTGGGTGCCGGCCTGCTGAGTGCACTTGGAGGGAGAAGATGGTGTGCGCCATGCCTCACTGTGGGTGGGACGCCAATCCACCACGACCTGCTGTGGGGCGTAATTCCAATCCGTTGGGGCGGAGGGAAGTAAGCGACAGCGCCATGGACTTGGATGTGCCCCGTCCATCTTGTTGCCGCCGTGCGTGTGCGGTGCGCACGACTCTATCTTGCGGTACGGCGTGGATGGCGGTGTCTCTGCGTGCGTTGTGCGGCGGGCTTTTTCTTCTCCATGTCTTCGCCCTTTTGTGTGTGGGAAAGTTGTGGGAAAGGATATGTACGGGAGAGTGAGCGTGGGTGGCTGCCAGCCTCGCCCCGCGCATTGGGGGCTTCCATAGACGTAGATTTGCTTGACGGCGTTTTGCGGCACCCAGGGCGTAGCGAGGAGGAGGATGGGGAAGATCTATTGTGGGCAGAAGGAGGATGGATGACACAGTCCCCTTCCGTGTCCTTCCCGATATTGTTGGCAGTACATACTGAGAGCGTAAATTTGGGCGAGTGCGGGATGAAACGTTTATGCCGCTTTTTGCGTGCTACTCAATCGTCGTCATTGCAGGCTGTCGTTACGCTGCGTTGTGGTGCGGTGCCGTTTGATGTGGGAAGGGTGCGATGCCACGGCTACTGCTCACCACAACCATTTATTGCCTCTGCATTGTCATTGTTGTTTTTCAGTTTGTGTGAATTTTTTCTGCGCTCGCATAATATTTTCTTTTGCTTCACGATGAATTTGTTGTAGGAGCTTTGATTTTGGTGCCTGCTTCACGGCGCTTCGCCTCGTGTGTCGGTTGCGGTGCTTCCACGTGGTGCCAAAGCGTTTGATGGAGTGTTCATTCTTCTTTTTGCGCCCTGCAGCCGACCTTGTTTGGCCATGGCGGCAGCAGTGGAGCTCTGCGACTGCGTGCTTGCCGTGCGTGTCTCATCTTTTGCCGCTGCCCCCTCGTTGTGTTGGTGGGGGAGGAGACGAGCGACTGCGTTGGTGGAGTTACACCCCAGTGGGAGAGGGAAGGCGCCGACCGCTGCTGACGGCGACGGTCTTTGCTGCAGGTGATCTGACGGGATGACGTCACCGGTGTCACGGTCAACCGAGATGGATGAGGACCGCACTGCGTCTCCCACCCCTCTCATCATCCTCTCTGTCCACTGCAGTCACACGCCACACGCACCGCAGGGCAGCGGCGCGACCACCATCCGGATGTCTGTGAGCCAATCGGAATGCAAAATCGATGTGGACCTTTTTCCCCGTGCTTGAGTGCTGCCGTGCTTCTTTATTTTTACTTTGTTGTGTATGCCGTGCGCGCATGGTGCCGCTGATTGCTGCGCAACGCCGAATCGCGTGAACAAGAAACGATGCTTTGACTGCTGGCGACCGGCGACCTCTCCGCTCCACTTACGCACCAACAACAACAACAACCTTTCGGACGCGCTTGATGGCTGGCGGTCGTAACGCTGCTACGTGGTCTGTCTTGGCTCTTGTGTGTCGTGCGCGGCATCGGGACTTTCCTGTGATGCAGCCATTCGGTAACAGGAGCGGTGCCAGTGGTCATGTGGCTTTTTGCCGGGATTCCGCCACTCGGAACGGTGGCTGTACGGGGCTGTGTGGGCGGTGGGGAAGGCTATGGTGTCACTGAATTGATTGCGTCTGCGCGGCTTTGTGTCGGCGGCTGTACTGCGACGGTTATGGTGTATGACCGGATGCCTCTGCGTGCCACTGTGCTTGGTTACTGTTGTTGTTGCCTTTTATTCTTTTTTGAGCGTGCAGTTAGAGATACTTTTGCTCGACCAGCACAATTATCGTTTCAAGGTGTTAGGGATTAATTGCAGTATTAGGATTGGTAGTACTGGGATAACGATCTGGCAGAATTGTGTCACTGAATTCGCCATCTGTAGAAAGGGATTTGTTGGACAGGAGTTATGGTCGACGGGGCGAGTGCGACACACCACGACAGCTCTATTGGTACGTGTTTGG